AACATGGCGAAGAATCCCACAAGTGAGAACGCAGTCAAAGTTCTCTAGACACCAAGAAAAAACAGAGGTAACCCAYCAATCACACGACCAGGGCTTCGCCTGACGTTGACCAATGCAGGATGTCAACCGATTGCAGTAAACAGCCATCAGCACTTCTATTTTACTTTATGCGTATTCAATGTGAGCTGACAAGAGTGCTTTGTAAAGTGATTYGCGCATGATCAGTTTGCCCCATTTATCTCAAAACTTATTTTTACGGCAATTTCTCCAAGAATTTTAGCGGATTTGAGTTTCAAAGTARTGTTGGAGTTTTTTAAGCCGTTTGAAATACTCTAGATCGTGTTTTTTTCTACCGCAAGTAATCGCTGTCACTATACTTACTCTCTATTGGTTGATATCATGCAATACATGGCCAGAAATTCCGGACATTTGAGACCGGGACGAGTCAGCGGGTTTTCCCACCAAAATAGAGCCTTCTACAAGTTCCCTTGAGGTTTGAACTTTTGAAGATCACATTTTCTACTCTTGTGCAACGATCCTTTATCTTAATACAATACTAGGCTAAAATCGAAACGTTCAAAACATCGACAAAAGAGTATTGGGATAGCACGCCCTGATCCTTGAGTTCATTAGTGGCTTGTGAGGTGCTCGTTTGGAATGTTCATAGTGTAAATAATATTATTTGCTGGAACACACGTTTCCCTCAGGTATTTTAAACAATGATCATCAGTTGATATTGTGATCTTTTGTTTATACTTGTACATTTCTAAGGAATTTAAAAGGTCTGACATTGTTTACACTAGACTTGATTGGCCTATCTTTCGTTCGTATTTCCCGCTATCTGCGCTATTTACCAGTGCGCGCAAGGCGCCAGTAAAAACCTCCAAAATCAAAGCAGTCCCAGTCTGAAAGCCATGTTTCTAAGGTTTATTTTGGTACCAAACACGGTGAATAAAATGGAAGATCAGGCCAAGTATTCAGTCGCGTGAAACACGTGTCTTCGCCAGCCATTTCAGCGTCAAGTTAGTGTTTTCAAATTGTACGATTTCTAGCACCAAAAAGGACGCTGTTGATTGTCTTCAAAATAGCTGAAGATCGCTGTGTTCCTACCTCAATATGTGGACTTTGAGAAATGATCTATGGAATATCAGTGACATGTAAATGAACACGATCAGCTACGGTGAAATTTCGCTTCTTCGCGAATTTTCACCATGAGATACAAGGCCAAAAGGAGACGACTAAAGGAAAATAAATTGTCAAAATATTGGATTTATTTGGATTTCCTACAGTGGAATCAAGAATAGTTTCCCTCTACGAATTCATCTATGGAATCTTTCCAGTTAATTAAAACAGATGAAATGTTATTCTCAAATATTTTTTTTTGATCCACACATTTCTTTGTAAAATTTACAAACATGTTTTTATGCATTTATGCGAAGTACCGCTGCGATTGCGGGCTCAAATGTCCGGATTTTCTGGCCATGAATAATAGCTATTGGTGGGAACTAGTGGTGAAGTAGTGTGAGCTGCGTCGGTGTTTCTAAAGAAACAGTTGTGTAAAAAGATAAATTTAACACCGTAAAAAAAAGTATGTAAAATAACTTACTGACGTTTCGGACGTTAATCCTTCGTCGGAGTAAAGAGGAATATTAGTTCAAGTGTTCGTGTCGTTGTATTTAGCCGTTCCGTGGCTTCTTGACATTCATACTGTTGACAAAAGAAACGGCACGTAGATGGTAGAWATCAAAGCTAAAGATACGTTACGAAAGTTTCACAGAAAAATACTAAACTCTCTTGAAGTTGCAAGGGTTGGAAGAAGCACAAAAAAAAAAACACCAAAACGAGGCTACCAAGGCCTCAGCGAAGAACTCCATACAAATCCTTGTATTTTCCATCCTTCATAACTATTTTCTTAATACCTAATTCTGATAGTCCTTCCATATGACATAATATTGCCCATTGTWTACAATTAATGGTAGGCACTTATGAAGATTTATATTCAAGATATATAAAACGACGCGCGTGTCTCTGTCCTCTGATATAAAACACGGTGRGAGTTCCTCCCACCGTGTTTATATCAGAGGACAGAGACACAAGCGGCCGTTTTATGTTACTTTTATAAAATTTTTCGAGCGAAAAWTTTTGCCGGTAAGCCGTGTATCCGTCCTATGATATAAACTCGGTCGTCAGCCAATCAAATCGCGCGTTATATATCGAAAATTTTATAAAGTCTTATTGAAGTCATATTCGAAACCATCGTCTTTTTCGTAAGCCTTTAACGTCACACAGACTCTAAAGGGAATRGCCGCTTACCATACAAATCGYTCAGCAAAACATATGGCGGACTACGTAAGTAAACTTTGAAAGTTACTCTTTTTAAATATTCCACATTTCTAGACTATAAACAATTTGCAGGTCACATGACGTCTGCCTTACAAACTAATCGATGGCGTGATGACTGCTTCACAGTGCGAGTTTTTGTAAGGAGAATTTTGCTTTCAATCGCCGCGTATAGAGTCACTAACTCTAGGATTGTTTTGATGGATAATAAGCGTACAGACACGCGAGGAAAAGTTGATCACGATCATTTTCAAGCAACAATTTCTCAAAAATGATGACCACATTCAGACCACTAGMCGTCACTATGATATTCTGCGATTCTGTGATGTTTCAAAGTCAGAAATTCATAAATGAGACTTTACAATTATTGTTGCATTTTTTGTTACAAATTAAAGGTCTGTCATTGTACTATCATTACAGAACAAATGACCTAAATTACATGGCTAATATCGATTGCTAATATCCAACTAACGTTCTGTATAATCGCTAACAAATAATTTCACAAGTAAACATTAGAAAATATATTGTTGACAAAAAGATGTCAGTATATTTCAGAAAACATCATTTATAGTTTTAGCTTTTATAAGCCAAACGCACTCTTTTAATAGAATTGTTCAATCCCTTAARGAGTGAAGATATTTCACTCACAAGTGGACATTGTCRGGCAGGCATTAAGCTTCTTTTTCATTAAAAAGTTGTCAAAAGTTACACTTTAAAGTTTGACCTTGTCAAGCGTAAAATCCCAGGACTAAAGTCTAGTTACAATTAATTCTAAATCAAGAATTAAAACTGAACAATCTTAACCAACCAGTTTTTTTTAACGTTAGCTAGCTTGAGTGTGAATTCAGCACTGTATTCTCTTGTATGGCGGGAAGAATGCCGCCGGGAATACTGCCTTGATCACTACAATCACTTGTCGAAGAATATTCTAAAACGTCATCATTTTCTACAGTGTCATCAAATTTCTGTATATCTCGAATCCACTCCATGATTCTATCCTCTTTCGAGTGGTTTAAACAGTTTTCTGGGTCGCTATTTAAGCGCTTTGCACTTGCATGGAAGCACCGTGTACCCCGCGGACTTGAGGGTAAACTACGAACACGCATTCTCGGACTGTCCGTTATACATGTAGGGATTCTTTCTCGAGGGCTTTGGGGGCTGCCAGTTCTGCCTTCAGAAGCAACAATTTCTTCTTTTAAAGTAATGAGGTCAAGATTTAAAGAAAGTCTTTGATTTGAGCTTGATGGAGACAGCGGTGCTAACCGTGTTTTATCGTTAGTAGGAAAGTKTGTATTTCTGTTTGGGCTCGGTGTTGGAGGTCTTGGGCTTTGTTTCCCATGAATTCCTTTACGCGACAGTCGAGGGCTWATAGGSACAGGTGGTGATAATGGTGGAAGACGATGCAGGTCTGTTTCACTCGACCAATCTTTATTCCTGTGAAGTTTAGAGCTATCTACCACTTTGGAACGCATAAAGGACAATTTAGACATCTCTGATTTGAGTCAATGCATAGATAGAACTTGTCAAGCTCATCCCATTGGTAAAATATACAAAACAATACTTTAGGTTGATAACTGACTAGCTTGAAGCAAAGTATGGCAATGAACGTCGAATCCCGTAAATCATGGCAGGGCTTTCCTGTCGTCTGAAGAAGAAATCTGAAACTGTTTAACGTAGAGGTCAGACAAACGACTGTCCTTCCGTAACACGACACAAYTCAATCGAATATTCGTTTCCTCGCAAATTATTTACTGCGCTTGATCAAAACCAACCTTTGATGTTTTCTCTTACGAATTGACTATTGTGAAGGCAACAATAACGTGTTTGCATTCATGGTATGTTAATTGGTAAAGTTTGGCTATGAGTTTAATAATGAGTGATTTATCGGTTGACTGACAGCATCAGTCACGACTGCGACTGTATACATTTACGATGCGACGTCAGTTCGTTTGTCTCTTGTGGTGTTGCTATGATATGGGGGATAAGCTGATGAACTATTTTTATTGCAGGGAAGAGATCGGTATATTCTGAACATAGGCCATATATAACATTTCACCATTAGGCATTGAGCCCTTATATTTTTTGTTGTCCTTTTTTATTGGATGCGCGAAAGGCGTTGTTTCAACATTTAGATCAAATCATCCATAAAAAGTTCATAGAAAGGCAAAAGCACTAGAAACGAGTGTTGAAGCTTTAATCCTCCACAAAATCAACTTGGACACCTGTTTATTGATGCCACTCGTCGACTGTTCGGAGCCTGTGGATCAGTTGTAACAAGAACAGGGCATTTGCATTGATGACGTCCTCATTTGATCGGATACGAGAAGACTGYTTTTCCTTTCTTATTCAGATTTTTATTTGCTTCGGACATTGTTGACACAATTGCGCCGGGACACTAATTTTCTGTATTTCTTTCCTTAATTCTTACAAATAGAGATATATGTGTTTTGTACTTATGCGATCAATGTGTTGCTGTTGCAAGTTCTTTCATTCGGTTTGGCTCTTGTTTSTTTTTTATTGCCGGAGATCGTGTAGGTACGACGTGCCCCCTGCCGAAATGCGGGATTCTTTGATGCTTTCAAAACCGTCATTGATATATCCTTAGGCCAAGTWCACTGATTGACACTGATTCATCTCCATCGGACTGTGAAATGTGCGTTCAGGTTGATACGACTTCCAAGTTGCTTAGTTGCCAGGATAGGAATATTCCAGAGCGAGCACTTTTTCGAGCTCTTATACCCTGGTTCCCAGATACTGGATTTACTCATTCTTATATTTTCAGCCTTACTGTCAGACACAGGTAAATCCAGCCCCTGGAACCCTGGGTAAAGCTCTTAATTGTTGCCTAAAAAACGCGTGGTTTTTGTTTCTGAATTTTTCGCATTCGATAACTGCATGTTTTTTCAAAACACAATTTCATAATCCCATTCCGAATATCATCACAAAAATGGACACAATCCCTAGTAGTAGTTTCCAGTTAAAAAGTCGAACCTGGCGGCACTAGTCGCTTTAATATGTAGCCAACATTAACTAGAACTTTAATTGAAAGGAAAAATCAACGGTGTCAGATTCGATTTGCGACAACTTTTTATCCACGAATAATAAATAAATAAATTCACCGGGGGGGAGCGTAATTTATTTCGGTTGTAAGGGGGTTAGGAATATACTTTTTTGCGCAGTCCGCTAAAACGAAAGGCACTTCGTGGAACAGATCGTGTCCAGGTTACGTTAAAGTGTAAAGAATTTGTCGTGATTTTTATCAGCGCYGTGATTTGATGGATTCTGCGTATAATATTTTCCATTATTTATTTTCCATTATTTATTCTGAAGATAATTTATCGGCATTGTAGCGAAATTTTAGCATGTGGATTGCATTCGCATTATACTCCGAGAATCTAATTGAAAGATGGAAAGTCACTTCCCATTTTAGAAAGAAGAACTGGAACAATCAGTTTACACTTAATTTAAAAACAAAGCAAGAAGAAAGAATTGTTTAGAAGTGATCGAGTCGAGAATCAAACCCTGGGTCCTCCGTTCGACGCCGGGGGGGGGAGGGGGGGGACTCCGGTTTGAAGAGTACCGGGGATGCTCGTCGGATCTTTTAGGGGTAAAAATTCGTGATTGTAAATCTTTTAGGGTGCCAATTTGGAGTTTATGGAAATTTCCTTTTTTTGCAATCTCTTAGGGTGTCGGAAAAGAAGAGAAAGAGCGCATCGCTATTGATTTTCCTAGCGTTTTCTTTTGCCATTAAATCTTTTAGGAGTATACTTATATATTTTTGAAAATTTCCGACGAGCATCCCCGGCACTTTTACCCGGAATTTCACTTAGAAAGAAAAAGATTTAAAAAAAGAAAAAATCCTCGGGTAGAGGAATAGTTTTGTGAAATTTTCTGTATGCGGATTTTATCGTGCGGCTAACATGCGTTATTTTTTTCCACTTCTCACAATCCACTAGAGGACCTGACGGAAATGAATGTTGTAGTTCCCAGTCTTTTGTCGGGGTATATAAAGCYCACGTGATTTACGTCACTTCCTCTCCGCCATTTTGGTTTTGGAACAAAGGTTCCTATCAACGTGGCTCTTAGCCATTAGTTTTCTATCCCTTACAACTTTTGCCCGCTTTTGAATTTCTTCTTTTACAAGAAGGTTTAGGAGCGTCTGTGCATTCACCATGAAAGAAGAATCCGGTGGATTTGCGTTGCCAGCTTTTCTTCCAAAGCTTTCGCACGACAAGCAAGACACGTTGCTCAAACTTCTTGTYCTTTCGATAGCTGCAATTTTATGTAAGTACAACAACACGAACTCTGAATCCATTCATTTATTGGATTTAGGTTCATATGTGYGCAAACTGCAAATTCMARMCTGCAGGCATATGTTGAAAAAMTGGAAYKAATTGACTTTCAACTTTTACACTATCCGGGGACATCGAAGATTTTTATGAACTTAAGCTTATGTTTCTTTTAAGAATATTAAGCCATCGATGAGTTACATTGCTCTTTTAGTGTCAAAATAAATCTACTACGGAGATTTTCTGATCTAGATCCTTTATGAGTATTTTTAACTAAGTTGTTGTGATTCATTTAATAACAAAATATTATGTCTTTGTTCCAGCCTTTTCTACTAGACTATTCTCAGTTCTAAGGTTTGAAAGTGTTATCCACGAGTTTGATCCGTGAGTACCTCCTTTATATGAAGTTATAATATTAGTAAAGTCTTTTTGCATTTGAATCAGAATCCAAGAAGGATTTGATACTTTTATTGTTTGTTTGTTTCAAAAACATTGAATAATGTTGAATACTTTTGAATGAAARAAAATCCTTCTCATTTACTATAGATTCTTTGTCTATTGTCTTTGTTTTAAATATTCAGTATCATAGCTACATGTACATGTACCCTGTTTTCTTTTTATAGACATGAAGCAATCTTTCTTCTTAAAGTACAATAAGCACTTGCTAATGGCAATCAAAGTTTTAAAGATTATTATCATTCTTTTTTCACAGAAATTAGATATGCATAATAGCAACATTTGGTTTTGCAGCTGAGCAAACCATTTCTGTGAAAAACAGTTTTTTTGTGTGTTTGTGAATAATRTTTTTGTAATTTATGTATACTATGAGCTTTTTCTAAAACAGTTGAAGATTTCATAGTGAATTAATGTATTCGCAGTGCTCTTTGAGATGGTGTATGCTGGATATGATAACAATTATATTAATAAGTGAAGAGTAGATATAAAGGACTATACAAATCTAATGCTCTTTTATGACATCTGTCAAGACTCACAAATTTATATGACATGCATGCCTTGGCGATTGTCACAAAGCACATTGTGTAATCTTTAAAAATCAGTAGMATACAAAAAGACAAATAGCTGTTATTTTGAAAGAGAAACAGTTCTTGTAATGATAAAATTACCACCAAGCTTCCCTACTCAAGTTCACAAGGGTACTGATATTAAGTATTTTTTTTTATTTCAGTTACTTCAATTACCGTACAACTAGGTTCCTTGTTGAGGAAGGATTCTATGATTTCCAYAATTGGTTTGATGATAGAGCATGGTATCCCTTGGGTCGTATTATTGGGGGAACCATCTATCCTGGTACGTTTACTATGTGTCCATAAAGYAGGAGTTTATGAGATAACATGTACTGACGAAAAGGRGTACTAGAAGTTTGCAGGATTACAGTATATTGTCCATTTTTCATTCTTYTGYCTAAACCTGCAGTTTCACAATTTTTTTTAGCTTTGATGTTGAAGGAAGAACGTGTTGAATTTTTTTGCAATGCAATATTTTGAGCACTGAAGTGAATTAGTAAGCCTGGTGAATGTTTTATCAGCTTTATGAAATCTGGTCAATAATCTAATCAAATTTCGAAGTTTGAATCCAAATTTGATTTCAATAATGTAATGTTTTATCAAATAATAAATGGAATGATGGTATTTTTTGGGGGGGGGGAGGGGGACTTCATGTCTTTTGACTGTAGGTGTTTTTATTTCTACAATGGTGGCTGCTTGTGAGAAAGATAACTTTATTAAAGCAAGGTGATCAATTTCATTTACAGGTCTGATGGTTACRTCTGCAGTAATTTATCATGTTATGAATTTCTTTCACATTACTATCAATATTCGTAATGTATGTGTGTTCTTGGCTCCATTGTTCTCATCATTAACTACGCTAGTTACTTTCTACTTTACTAAGGAGCTAAAGGTAAGAAATGCACCMCTGTATACAAACATTTCAAACTCACMATGGTTAAAAGTGGGCCACTTTTAAAGAATTAATAAAATTRTTGATTGCTTGATTTTGTATTAAATTACAGCAACAATTGAGCCTGGTTTTCCCTATCTGATAAGTAAAAGGGAAAGAARTACTTGTAATTTAGCTTTTAGGATAAAGAAGGGTTTAAAACAAAAGGAATGTGCTTTTTTTGTTTGTCCTTTTGTCTTTWRYGAGCYTATTTTTTGACTTATGCTTGTTRCTTATGTYGATGTCTTATGTTGCATGCTTTTCTTTACTTCTTTTTTTTTACTTTCTTTACTTCTTCCTTTCTTTTGTCCTAATGAAAACCAGACTTTAGAATGCGCTGCATATGTTCATTGCTTTCTGCTTTTTATTTTATTTTGTTTTCATTTCAACAATAATATATTGTTTTTAATAATTACTGTATGTAAAAAGTGGGTACATGTAGATCATATTCTATTTTTATTTTATTTATTTATTTATTTATTTATTTATATTATTTATTTATTTATTTATTTTTAATCTTTTGAAATCTAGGATGCTGGAGCTGGTCTTGTGGCTGCATCTATGATTGCCATTGTACCAGGTACATGTAATATAGGGTGTATTGAAAACAACATATTGCTACTAGTAGACAGTTCATGTAAAATGTCTGTATAAGCGTACAGAAGTTCCTTAGACTGTTTCTCCTTAGACTCTGTTGAATCATATCTGTAAGTCCTTCATGTACATGACAATTTCAGTGTGTAAATCTTTTAATCAAATCTCATTGCAATAATGCAGAGGCATTTAGCGCAGTGCAAGTAGTTGGTTGATCTGATAGTGATTTGGTTCATGCACTGTTCACTGGTAGTCAAAACATAACATGTTTGTGTGAGACTAAGGTTGAAGGGTGGAATTAGTTATGCAAGTTTTTAGTGTAATTCTTCTTACAGTATTTTGTTTATTTGTCAGGGTACATATCTCGATCAGTTGCTGGTTCCTATGACAATGAAGGCATTGCTATTTTCTGTATGTTGTTGACCTATGCATTGTGGGTTAAATCTGTCAAGACTGGCTCTCTGTTTTGGGCAACGATGTGTGCTTTGGCCTACTTTTACATGGTAGGTACTCATATAAACAATGATGAGGATATGATTATACAGCAGGCATTTGCATTGCATTAATAGTGATATTGATTGACAGGTATCGTCATGGGGTGGATATGTTTTCCTAATTAACTTGATACCTCTACATGTCCTTGTTCTCATGGTAACAGGAAGGTTTTCTCACAGGATTTATGTGGCATACTCAGCAGTAAGTAGTGAAGGGTAGAGACTTGATACATGTAGGTTTAGTTCAGCAGTGGTACAGATAAGCAAATAAGCAAATTTTTGACATGAAATTATAAAAAATAAGAAGGCTTTATAAAAATGAGCTTCACATGTGACAAGAATTGGCAATTCTGATTGGATGAATACTAAGCTAATAACAATGCACAAATTATTTTAGTTAAACACTTGAAATGTGCTGTTATTGATGGAATGGCCAGAACATTCMGACCTCAMAAAATCAGTCAATAWCATGGTCCGGTTTGTGCAAATTGCAAAAGTGAAACGAAAGAGTGTGAATTGCAAAATAAGAAATATAGGATAAAACTTGTTTTCCTCTACATGTATTTTTGCGTTGCTAGTAGTCATAACAATGGTATATATCAACATTGYAGTTCTCTAGAATAGGATATTTCATAATAATAATGTTGTTCTTTGTGCGTGTAGTTCTTTTGTCTGGGTACCATTCTGTCCATGCAGATTTCATTTGTAGGATTTCAACCAGTTCAATCCAGTGAACACATGGCGGTAAGTAGTTCACTTTGTAGACTGCTTGTTSAAACTCTGTTTTTTTATATTTCTGCAATAAACCATCCAAAACTCAAGGTTTTTCACGGAATTACATTTCCAATATTTTACAGTGATTTGTTCAATTGCATTCACCTCACATACATGTACATGGCAGATGTCAAAATATTTTTTKGAAGATGTATTGTGTATTGAAACTTGTCTGTACCAAATGAATTCTCACAATTTGTGTTGGCAGACTTTATGTCCCACCGTCAAAGGAAAGAGAACAGTTTTCGTCAATTTTTACAACTCCAGATGATAAAGTTGCATGTGTGTTTGTTTTGTTGWTTTTATTATTGCTTTAGTACATTATTGTACTGATCTAATAACATTGTCTTGCAGGCATTTGGTGTGTTTGGACTGTGTCAGATCCATGCCTTTGTTGACTATGTAAGAGCCCGTATGCAGCGTGAGCAATTCCAGTTTCTTTTCAAAGTAGTTGTTGCAACTGCTTTTGTTGCAGTGATGTCAGTTGGTGGTGTTCTTACAGCAACTGGGAAGATTTCTCCCTGGACTGGTCGTTTCTACTCTCTTCTTGATCCATCCTATGCTAAGAATAACATCCCCATTATTGCCTCTGTCTCTGAGCATCAGCCCACAACATGGTCGTCTTTCTATTTTGATCTTCAAATGTTAGTATTCATGTTCCCTGTCGGGTTATATTACTGCTTCTCCAAGCTGACSGATGCAAACATCTTTATTGTGATGTATGGCATTACAAGCATCTACTTTGCTGTGAGTATCTYATTTTGGAATTCATARSAAATRTTTCATTGTGAATAAGCCAGATTGTTTTGCTTTAGGGTGTGATGGTGCGTTTAATGCTGGTCCTTGCTCCAGTTGCTTGCATCCTGTCTGGCATTAGTGTGTCTACGATCCTGACTACATACATGAAGGTTTRCAGTTAATAGTGCATATTAAATATATTGTATGAGCACACAGACTTGCAAAGTTTATAGAGCTTCAAATGTTCAGTCTTTCAAGTTACAACATTACAGCAAATGAGTGAGATATCAGTTTAACAATAAACGTGTACGGTGTTGTCTTATGTTCTGTTTATTGTGTTATCTTCAAAAACATCCACAGCATACTTTACCCTCAGTAATCATTATCATAATATCCTTACTATAGCGATATTCAATGTTTATCAACAGACTCATTGTAATGTTGATGTGTGATTATTAGTTTACCGCTAGTTCCTATAATTATAAGTCTGTTTAGCAGTAGGTTTCTGCTTTAGGATCCAATGGACAGGGATCCYGAACGGGAAAACAGCTGCTAAGGGACAACACTTGATGAACTTTTGCTGTATTTRCTTGTTCACTTCATTGACTATTTATAAAGCATGGCTTTCATATTTGTCTTTAGAATTTAGACAGTCCAAAGGCTCGTGGTACTGGTAAAGTATCAAAGAAGAGCGACCCATCTTATCCCATCAAGAATGAAGTTGCTAGTGTCATGGTTGGTTTAATGACTGTTTTCCTGATYACCTATACCTTCCATTGTACGTGGGTAACATCAGAAGCCTATTCCTCTCCATCYATTGTACTGTCCGCTAAACAACATGATGGCTCTAGGGTGATATTTGATGATTTCCGTGAAGCCTATTACTGGCTAAGACAGAATACTCCTGAGGTATATAGTGGCTGTATATAGTGTACTGTACATTGTATATAAGTGATTTCACGATCTTCTGAAAACCAATATATTTTCTAAGGGAGAGATTCATTCATTTATAGCAGATTGATAGATGGATAATTAGATCGATTGATTGATTGATTAGTGGATCGATCGATTGATTGATTTATGGATTGATCGATCGATTGACTGATAGATGGATTGATCGATCGATCGATTGATGGATGAATTGATGGATTGTGTGTTTATTATAGGATGCTAAAATAATGTCTTGGTGGGATTATGGCTATCAGATAACGGCAATGGCGAACAGGACTATACTGGTGGACAACAATACTTGGAACAATACACACATATCAAGAGTAGGACAGGTTGGTCATCATACCAAATCATGTTGCTGCTATAATGACCTTTCTGCTGCAATTGTTAAAATTTTATCCGTCATTGTTTACCAACAGGCGATGGCGTCACCTGAGGACAAGTCTTATGAAATCATGAGAGAACTTGATGTTGACTATGTTTTGGTCATTTTCGGTGGATTGACTGGTTATGCATCCGATGGTGAGCAATACTGTTTCTTCATTTACGGTTGGCTTAGTGTATACCAGGGGTACCAGGTGGACACACGAACGGGAATCTTGTACTCTTCTCTTTTGTTTTTTGTTTTCGTTTATGTTTTTTTGTATGTTATTGTATTCTAAGACATCAACAAGTTCCTATGGATGGTTCGTATCGGTGGAAGTACAGAAAAAGGCAAACACATCAAAGAACATGACTATTACACACCAGCTGGAGAGTTCCGTGTCGACAAAGAAGGCTCACAGACTCTTCTTAACTGTCTAATGTACAAGATGTGTTAYTATCGCTTTGGATCGGTTTACACTGAGCAAGGTAGGAAACAGACAGCATTTTGGTAGCCGATTGATCACATCGGGGCAAAACATACGTGTGGACCCGTTAACGCTGTTCATATCTCGTTTACAGGCAAACCAACTGGCTACGATCGTGTACGAAACGCAGAAATTGGAAACAAGGTCCGAGTAAAAACTCGTATTTGAAGTTTGTATTTTATTTCATATTAATACATGTTAAATATTGTTATTTAGGAATTCGAGCTTGATGTCCTGGAAGAAGCCTACACAACAGAGCACTGGCTTGTTCGTATTTACAAAGTTAAGGATTTGGACAACCGAGGCTCATAAATCATTGACTATTTTTAATATATTAAACAAGCTTATTAGAATGAGATTTACACTTGGTACAGCATTGCATGAGTGACATTCAAACACATTTCTTGTAATTCTTGTTCCGGACTAATTTTTTCTTTGCAAAAAGTAGGGAAAAGCATATAAACAATCATGTTTCATTCGTAGAAACAGTTGCAAGCATGTCCATTTTTATGCTTCTGTTTTTATGCTTCTTCAATGTTTCTAGACATGGTCCATTCTGCAGGCAGCCCGAGTAATGACAAACAATATCCTACTCTCAATATCCCTCTCTCATTTTTCGGAGAATTGTCTGTCCTTAGGCTGAGTTGCCTGTAGTAGCCAAATGGTTTCGTGTGTCATTCAGTTATAATGCAATAAGCTCACTGCGTATACAATGTTATTCTCTTTTAGTATTGAAAAGAATTAGTGTAATTTTATGAAAGCTTGGATAAAGAATTTTGTAACAAGTCCAGCAATAAAGGTGCAATTTCCTTGTATTTCACGAATAAATGGCGATACYACAAGTAGCATGGCTCCGCTGAACCAATCGATTAAAGAATCYMAACCAACCACAATACAGCGCGCGCTCGTGTTGTTGTTTACATACGGGATACCACTCCTAAACCTCTTGCCCAGGGCTCTCTCTTCTCTCAACTGAAGTTGTTCTGCGTCGTTCTGCGTGACCTTTAGCTTGACGTGAAAAATACAATCCTCCATTTTCGTGTCCACCTAAAATGGCGGCTCTGCTCGCATAGTACAGTGGTTGGTTGTGATTCTTAAAATGTCCACACGTCTTACAAACTAAACTAATAGGTCACTGAGTATCCTAGCCCAGTAAAAGCGGTTCTAGAACCAGTTCAATATAGCGCCCACGCCCACAACAATGTCAGATRCCCCTACCTATAATGTAGCTTATGTACCATTTTATCGCTCATTTGACGAATCATCACCGGAATCTTTTAAGGTTTATTTACTTAGTTTAAAAACTAAGTAATGGTGAATATTGTCTCTTCAATAAGCGCCAATGTGGAGTTCGCTTGATGATGTTGAACAATGGTGAGTACTGTTGATGCCCGGCGGTGGATTATCGAAGGAATGTTATTGAAGAGGGACAAACTTCTCTACGATGCTCATTAAAGAAAGCGCGTACCAGTTTATTCCTTCATTATTGCCACCATATGTGTTGCCATGGAAACCCAATACTCTACTTAGTGACGTCACAAGTGACGTTAAATCGGTCCATAGTCGTAGTGGTGCCATTGTTATGTGTGCAACAGTATGAGAATCCCAGTGAGCATAACAGGACACGAGAACGCCATCAACAATCATAGTGCCATGTCTGGTAAGGGGTGCGTATATCCCATTTTGTGTTGCCATAGCAATCTTARCGATCCGACTAGTTTCCGAAGACTTTCCGACCGTAARTAATGTATCGCCAACCTTGAGATCTGAAGCAAACACTGCAATAGTCTTGCTCGTTGTGTCTTCGRTTTTGAAGACCAAATGCTTGTTAGATACTCTCAATGTAAGTCCATTATCTGTAATAATCGATAAGTATTCGGCAATAGAYGACTCTTGTCGATGAAGGAACGCTATGACTTCGCTGTATACCGGATTGCCCTGACGATCTAAAGTTTTGATTTGGTCACCGATCCTCAATGTCGACATGGTCAGCTTTTGGTTGTTTGTTTGTACTTGTGAGTCGCCTGGGAAGCAGTAAACATGTGTTGGCCGCTTCATTGGAACAGGTGGCACTGCAAAAACAACACAAATGAACCGTTACTAGCAACACGAGTAAGGGCGGCGCACAAACTGGTATTGTGTCAAAGTATGTGAGGGCGCTTCCCTGCAGCAACCAACTGATCCATGTCCGATCATCATGGATCATGGAGTACTGGCTCGCTCAATAAACGACAAGGAACCCTTAAATAAAATCTCTAAGAGCTACTCCTTAGAGCAAAATCAACAATGAAGCCACAGATGCCCCGACCGTGACTGGAATACACGATCACACCCCTGAAAGACCGGCCGTCTCTTCCACCCTTGCTTTCCATTACCCGTTATTCTATAACTACCAATGTCTACACCTTTGACAACACAAATTCTCAATTTCAAAGACTCAATACTTACAATCGAACATGTAAACGAAGTTGGCCTGAAATAGACCTACTTTATCTGTGAAATCACAGTCATCTGATTTGCCATATTTATTGTATGTATGAAGAGCATCGTCKCCACTGTAACAACGACCAAACTCACGTAACCCAAACACTTTGACGCCTTCTTTCTTGGCCTCCATTGCGCATACTTGAATTATTTTACCAAAGTTTCTCATATTCGGTTTCCATTTGATGCTTTTCGTTAGGTCAGCCAATAGCTTGGGCAACGCCTTTTCCGTTTTATTAGTTTCAGCAAAGCAGCCCAAAGCGTGGTATTTTAAACCTGTATAATATAGAGGATATTACATGGTCGCGTGGAGATATGGATTTTATTTTCAAGTGTTCCATGTTTTTTTCACTAGTGAAAATAGTGAAAATAACAACTTTTGGCAACAGAGAAATATAGGTATTTTATAGATTATTATATGATAAATCTATTTACTACTCAACCTAATGGAGTATTTTAATGCTGCTTTGTGGGTGTAATATAGTGAAATGCACTCTGAGTTATATGGGCGCATATATGAATGTTATCATCGAAAGTTATTCTTTAACCTAATCCGTAACATTACATTACGCTGCCTTGAATTTTGGCCTTAGTTTAAGAAAATGTCGAATAGTTTTTCTAGAACTCATTAATAATTCATGAGCTATTAGTCCAATGAGCATCGAACTATTGGGTCACATGATGGGCTTTTATATCCCGATAAAGTACTGATGTTTTATTAATCAGTTCTATATCAGATATAAAGAACTGATGTTCAAGGTAATCAGCGCTTTATCGCAACCCAACACTAGCAAAGGTATCAGTTTTAATGTCGCATCATAGGTTTTAAATCAGTTTCAATCAATGTGCAGACATGCACTATAGCATAGACTAGCCGTTCTTACGTGTGGGATCAAAATTCTTTCAATTGTGGCAAATGYACATGCTCAGTAGAAGTTGAATATGCATAATCACTGTTTTCACATTTTTTAGCTTTTTTTCTAAAATGATAACAATTTCTGAATGTTGGAGTCTTGAAGCTCGAATCTATATCACCCGATACAACACGCTCTCTCGTTCTGTATACATTACATAAAGTAAACACTTGACCCTTTTTTCATTCTTTCAATAGACGATTTCCGAGTTGCGCAGTCGCACCAGAAGCGTTTATACCTTGTGCCTATTTTCTGGTATTCCGAATCTTCCTCATTTTTGACCAAAATTCCACCTCGTTGTCACACTTGCACGCGCCTGCGATGTATTTGAAAGCACTCGCAAATCTCGAAAATCGTTCATTTAAGWCTTTTGGAGACAAAAGGCAAATGAAGCTCTAGTTTAATGCTAGTTATCGCATACATTATCAAGAATCCTAGACATTTTAAACGGGACATAACACTTAATTCCAATCACTAATCACTTTGAAAAAAATCAATGCCCTCCTGCTACCTTGCAATGTTTCGTCTGTCTTAATCCTATATGATCATTCCTTACATTAAAATAACACTGTAGGAGGGGAGGGGAAGAGATTTATATTCCACTGGCAAAACATCAAATCTTAAATTTTGCAAATCTAAAGAATTTTGTCCATGATAATTGTATTTGTACGTTTTAACCCGTCATAAGCTGTAGGGATATCGCCATACATACCGGCATCTTTAGCTTCTTGTGCAATAGTATCATGATGATGGCGCTGTTTGCTCTCTAAGGTTTCATCAATAACATCTACAACGAAAAGAATTGAAGCATTTCATGGTATCGAATTTATACCAATTAATCGGAATACAACTTGGAATGCATGCGGCATTTGTTTGGTGTTGCAATAACGTAGTAGACCCCGTATCAATGAATGGGTATTCCATCTCGAAAACAAAGGTTTTCCAAATATGGTATCAAACTCGTTAAGAATCATTAAGAATAACAAAAGGTCTTGATGAGCCAGGGAGCAATTCTTTGATTGCTATGGTGCAGCGACCGTCTTGKTTGAACTTCAACAAAGGATTTCTCATTAGTATCTATTGTTCATTCCTCTAACATGKCCGACGGTCTTTTATGATTTGAATCTCATGGAAATGGTTGAAAACGATCAATAAGTTAAGAAAAGTGTGATGCAGAAGATTGTCAGTTGGGTCAGTCATAGGTCTCAGCACAATACTGATGATCACGTATTGATTGCACATGTTATTGTGTTACGGGTGATAGTGTTATTTTGATAYCATTAGTTGGTCACGTCGGTTAGTATGTTACCTGTAATAGATTTTAATTTTTTAGATGAATCTTGGAATGTGTGTTTGTCCTGGTGCTCAGGTTGTTGTATATGTACCTCTGTAACAGTATTAGTAATATTATGATGATTAGTAGAAGTGCGATTTGTTAATTTTGTTTTGTTCTTTTGCTTTGTCGTTTAAAAAAGCTACAGGTGGTTGCAGTCTGCGCCGTCCCTATATTGATTTGGTCAAGACTTACGTTCCAAGTTCGGTGATTGGATCTTGGAAGTCCTTTGTTGACCAAACCATGAAACGTCACGTTTGTGAGAAAACACTGTAAAAACATCGTTGGATGAAATTGTTAATATATTTACAGTTGATGACAAAAAGCAAATGATGTTGGTTTAACTAGTTAATGTTGACTCACTTACCTCCATTTACCATGAATAYCAATAGCATTCCATGCATAATCCACCACTGCCTGACGGCCATATTTCTAACCTAAAAGGAATTTGAAGTCAAACCTTATTAACTGGCGCACAAGTGAATCAAAATCTCCGCATATTTTATCAGTTTTTCTGCAATTAATTTTKGCATTTTCATTGTATTTCATGCTTTAAAGCTTTTGTTATCGGGTATATAGAAAACACRACAACTTGTACAGTTATTAGGTTAAGAAAATTCCCGAGGATGTRGCCCCCCAAATCAATGTATGAGCGTAGTTCGTGAATGATATAGAGGTTATTACACGGGCGCGTGTGGACATACGGGTTTTATCTTTTGCGCGAGTGAGCGCAGCGAATGAGTGAGAGATTTTCAACACGAAAAGATGAAATTCGTATATCTCCAAGCCACCAAGCAACATTCTGTTTACCATATAATTATCTATGAAAGCAAATTTTAATTTTTCCTACTCGAAATATAACAAGTTCAGTCGACAGTGAGAAACGTAGGTATATTTCGTGGATTCATGTATTAATCTAAAATTAACTGTAGGCATTTTTTGATTTAAATTTTTCATTTCTGTCTTTCTTTTTAATTTATTGTTTCAGTTTTCCGAGCTTCGTTTAATTTCTTTAATTTATCCAATTACTTATAAATGTTCTTATATAATTTAGATTGTTTACAACATAGACAAATCTTATAAGTRAACAAAAGCGTTTTACCTTTGAAATAATTCAGTCATTGTCAGAAMAAAACTGTGGACAAATTGCACACCAGAAACTAACCGGACCCTGGATGCTTCGTAACGATTCAAAAACTACTCATTTTCTTAGTGATGAGCTTGTACGATACCATTAAAAATCCAATGGAATTTTAGGAAAATGTGTAATCGCCCAAAAATGCATGTATTTTCTTTTTGGTGATAAAAGCTTCATATTTGAAAGGGAACTGGCAATTAAAAATAAATTATAGAAGATAAATCTGTTTAAATGATAAATTTTCTTTAAAGCCCAAGTTTATATTGAGCTATTTGGTGGTTTGAGAGCACAAATTGAATGGCACGCTCGAATTAAGAGCCAAGCTTTGTAAAAATTGACGAATAATCAAGAAGGTCGAACAACGTAAAGTTGCGTTTCTTCAAAAACATAAAAAAAGATGTTCAAATGTTAAGATGTTAACCRAAGATAAAACGAATACTTCGCTTAATTTCACTATTTCAGTTTATTTGACGTTTRTAAAATTTTTCTGTAAACAATCAGACATTTAGTTATAAATCATAAATTCGTCATACAAGCACTTGACAGATATTGAAGTACTACAATTGTAGATTCTTTTCGCGAGGATCTATTCTCGTGAACCATTAAAATTCTCTGAACTCTGTCCTCGAAAAAATTTCTGTCCAGTCCGGCTACACTTGAATCATGTTTTCCTAACGGGATTTGGCGCTATTATAAGTGATCTCGTATAGGGATTTTGACTATAGCTATGAAGCCAAGGAATTCCTAAAACTGTCGTTTAATGAGAGTAAATGGTCAACGCTGTCATGGCCGATCGATGTGCTAACAAGGTATTTGGTATCATTACTGGTGTTTTTGACTCATAGACWCCCTATGACCCAATTCCAAGTTTTAAAAGCTATAAAGAATGTCTACTCACTATTAGGTCGCTTTTCTCCTCACTTTGGCTGGAAGAAGAGCTTGTCAGCGTAGTTTTAGTAAATAGTTTCACAGAGATGTATTATTATTTTGGTTGTTTGCAATGGTTTTGGATGTCTGACCAATGGTTGTGACTAGTACCTGTTAAAKCAACCTGTCTTATTGATCATTGAAACACCCTTAATGGAAACATCACGATGAATTGWGAATCCCTTGGATTGACCTAAACTACTGCAATATTGTTTCGACAGGCTCTAATTAGATTCTAATTAGTTTCCAGGTTCTGATTAGATTCTAGGCTCTACTACAGAACAGTTAATCTTACTTTACCAGTTTCGCGGTTTTTTCTTTATTTTCTACTGATGTTTCTTCTTCTCAGTCTTGTCAGTCTTGGTCCTAATTCTCTCCAGTTGAATTTTAAGATCCACTTTACAACTTACCTAAACCTTTCACCTGTTTTTAACAAGTGCATTGATATTGTACCTTAGGTTTTATCAGAAACGTTCTTTTATTAAGTAAAAAAATATATCGGCCATTTTATCATAGCCTTTATCAGTAAAATGTACAAAGTCGCTAAACAGCTTGCTTGACTTAAAAAATCTGGCCAGGTCAACGAACAACGTCCGTATTGGTGTTCTAGTCGCATAATGATAAAGTTTTGTGTTTATATATCGACGCGCCATACTTGTTTTCTTACAGGTTCTTTCAATATCACAGCGACGTGGAGGAATGGTAACTACAACAGTTCTAACATTAAAATAATGGCAAAGTTCATGTAAATCTAATAAAGCTTTTATAATTGTTGTTACGTTGGCAGCAATYGAAGGCTTTTTCTTAAGAAAGGCCAAGTCATTCGTGCCTCCCAGGATAATAACCAAATCAAACGTTTCATTGCCTTTTAACAAACCAATAAGTCTTCGCTTCATTGCACCAACGGCTAATTCACCAGGTTTGCCTTGATTTTGAACTACTACTGATGAAAATTGACTAAGACGTGCGTGTTCTTTTATACCTTGACGAAGAAGCTTTTCAAGACGAACAGCATAAGAATAGAATGTCAATGGTTTGGAAGTTTCTCGTGGTCTTTGTCCAGCCGTAAGAGAGTCACCAAAACACAAGATTTTTAAAGTCTGTTTCCTTGATTCTAAATTCGATGAGTTGGCTTCCGAAAGCCTCCGTTCATAGAGTGTTGGATGAAGATGTAAAATATAATAGAATACAGGAAGACTACATAGTAGCAAAACAACAAGCCTGGTTTGTGACTTGCTAACTGACGATGACATGGTCGAGGCGATGACTCCAGAAAAATTGTCAAATCGATTTGGCCACTGAACCTAATAGCAAACAAATAAAATCCGGTTCGGTGATTCTTACTACATTGTCAGTTTTCTTGTCCAAATGTCTGTGCGGAACATATTTGTGTCATTTTTAAAGAGCTTGAAGTACAAACTACAAAATCTTGACATTGGACTACAGCATGTAACCTAACACAGGTCTACGCATGCGCTGACAGCACTACTATTGAATTCGTCAATGTCGTACCCAGACTCTTCGTAACTTTCGTCTGCKGCTTCCTTCGTCTTGTCATCATGGAATTGTCTTTTATAGATTCAATCGATGGCCGCCGATTATTGCCCAATGCATATTGAAGAGATAGTTTCACCGCTACAACCATTTGTGCACCAATTCCAAACTGCCAAATAGACATCGGAAGTTGCGAAGAAAGGATATTATGACATGAAGCTAGCTTGATTTAGCTACTGATGTCAGATACCTGATTACTTTTCAAGATGGCTGAACTAAGCCGCTTTTGATTGGCTACTGAAAATGCCTCGTTGTCTTATATCGCTCATTATTGGCTGTTTGTGTTCGTTTATATGTCGGGATGTGTTCGACATTGTCGGGATGTTCGGATAACCGTTAGGTCTATTTAACAATTATTCGCCGAAGGCGAAGTGATTATCAATGAATATTTACCGAGCGGCGATTCCGCGAGCCGCTCGGTAAATATTCATTGATAATCACTGAGCCTGAGGTGAATAATTGTTTTAGTAGAATTTCATAAGTGAATATTTATAAAAATAGAGAAAAAAGAACTACTGCATTTTCGTAAAATGTTATGTGGCGGGGATTGAAGATGGCGGTCGAGGGCCGCTCGGATTGACAGCAAAGTCGTCTTCTTGTAATAATTGTCATCTTTCTTYCTTATGGACACGTAAAACTTTGATAGACACTTGTTTAATTCACTTGTATCCATGTCTTCAAAGCTGAATGTGAATTCAGTGAGTGAATTCAGACTGTTGTTGAAACCATTCTGTCAGAAAATGTATCGAGTAAAATGTAAACAAACCAGGCGAAAACCTACAAATTTCAGCCTGTTTGACGTAAAACGATAGATAAAAAAGTAGTTTTAGACAATGTTTTTATCATTAAATAAACAAAACTTACCTGTAAAAAGGTTTAATCCAATTTTTTTTAATCCAATTGTTTAATCCAACGACTCGCAGACGACGCCATTTTGCGAAAAAATCCAATATTCACCTATAGGTGAACATCACTCATTGAAGCGTCAAATTCGACCAATCAGCGCGCTAGAATTATGATATTCACTTATGAAATTATACTAAAATTAATTATTGGTTTGCGGTTTAATACGATATTTTGATTCAATTAATATTCCCGCAGTTTAAAGTAACTTTCGGCAATTAAAATGCAACGATATACTTTGAAATTCTTGTCAGTTGTCCTCTAATGTCTCTTCTGTCTCATTTGCGGTTTTGAGAAGCAAGCCACTCGAGCAAGAAATTAAACTTGAGCGATATATTTAGCATTCGATGATTTCTGCCGACCAGTTTTGCATCTGCTTCAACTCCCTTCTTTACAATCAATCCCTGAATAATTCTAGAATGAACTGGATTGATATGAAAATAGTCACACACAAAACTATGAGCATTTCCGTGTGGCCGGAACTGAAAATGGGCAAAAGTTTCTTCACCGCCGTTTTCTGCGGAATACAGCTTACAGTCCTTTCCCACCGGACCCACTACTATTCTATTCGTCCCATTCCTTATACGGTTGCCCGTAGTCTGCTTAACATCCCTAGTGTTCGTTTCCAGTAGCTGTAGCCTGAGTACCAGGCCTTGTCAATGGCAATTGGATAGGGAATCGGAGGAAGAGGAAAGATGGTAAGGCACTAGCCCCCCGGGGAAGGGGGGTAG